CTGTGTAATGGCTAAGGTGTTTACTGCTCTCACACCCACTTACAGATAAGACATTAAGTCTGAGGTCAAACTTAATGGTAAGGACAGTCTGAAACCCAGTTTTTGTAAACCTGAGATAAGTGATCCTGGGGTTACTTTACAGCGTTCATTGTTGTACTCCTTGCTTTGGTTTGGAGGTTTTGTCATTTGTTTGGTTGGTTTTTTTTTTTCAATTAAAAACTCAAATATAAATTTATGGCAAGTATCTTCTCCCACCATTAATAGTATTTCACAACCAAAAATAATGAAAAGCCTACAGCCATAGGAGGCCTGGATCTCAGGACTGAGAACTGTTCCTGGGAGGGACGAGAGGCTACTGCTGCAGCAACGAAGAGGCAAGGCAGAAACGCCAGTCTTCCTGCTGCTTTGACCTCAGCCCTTGCTCTAGCATAGGCTCATCCACTGTTGGAAAAGTGTCAGACAGACAGTAAACTCAGCATTGGCTGCATTACCTAAAAGCCCAGAATGAGGCCTAGCTTCTGCTAGAACCCTGATACCTCCTTCTACCAGGATCTTAGCCTCAGAGCCCAGTAGCTCCCAGTACCTGAGATGGGACCCAGGGACAGCATAGGTTCCCCTTGTCACTGCATGAGTGCAGAGTGAATGGATGACTGTGTAGAACTCAGGCACAAAATCCACCTTCGAATCTGGCAGCTCAACCCCTTCTCCTTCCTCTCCCTCATCTCGCTGCACCCACTTTCCTCCCCGTCCATGTGACAATGGAAATATGTGCTGCCTTGTATGGTTGGTCTGTAGACCAACTCCTTTCCTTGCATACTGGCATTGTTCCTTGAGATTAGCTAAGGCCAAAGCTATTACATTTCTATTTCTCTTGAAGGACACTGTAAATTGTTTGAGCTTCTTCTACTTGGGCTATATTAAACAAAGTTAAAAGACCCGTGTCTCCTTCCTTGCTCATTCTGGATTGCATCTGAATTGCACTTGTGAAACCAGAGTGGCCAAAAGGTCAGGTGGAAGTCAGGAGAAGCTTACACATTCATGTTTGAGCTGAATTGATGAAGAAAAAAGTCTGGGATAAAACAGATCACCCATACATAGAAGAAAAAGAATGATGAGAACCAATAAGGGCATAAATTGCTTTCAAATTCATCTCAGTGAGGTTATCACTAAAACAAAGTTTTGGAAGAATCTGTTAATAGAACCAATAGAAAAGAAAACGGCAACAAGTGTGTTTCTGAATGGTAAAAAATAATCTCCAGAATATTAGAAATGTTTAAATGGTTGATTTCTATTTAAAAATGACATATGTTAGATATAATAATTTATAACAGAGCACCCACAGTCTACAAAATACTCTCACAACCCTCAGAACGTGAAGAGTACTAACAGGTCAATTTAATTCAGGGATTAAAGCAATTATGCATCTTGTACGTGTCACTGTATATTCACTATTGGGGTTATCAATTTCTTTCCTTCATATAAGCTGCAAACATACAGCAAAGTTTTTAAAGTCAGATTCAACTCTCTTTGGATCAAGCTCTTTTATTTGTTTCTTTCTTCCTTCCTCCCCCTCCCAAACCCCCCCCCGTTGCCACCCCCCATGTGTGTATGTGTGTGCATGCACATGTTTAGGTGGGTAGGTGCCTGCGAATATGAAGGTCAGATATCCACATCAGGATTCTTCCTCTATCCCTTTTCTGCCTTCTTGTTGTTGTTGTTTTGTTTTGAGATAGGCTTTCTCACTGAAACTAAAGCTCATCTTATTGGCCAGACTGATTGGCCAGCGGTGTCAGAAACTTGCCTGCCTCTGCCCCAGCCAGGCACTGGGGTTACAGATTCTTGCTGCTACAGCCAATTTTACAAGAGTGGTGGAGATTCCTGCATCCTCATGTTGACCTACCAAGTTAGCCCACCTATCCCCTGAGCCACTCTCCCCAGTCCTACAGCAGGCTGGTCTGGCTTTGAGAGTTCACATTACACAAAAAGAGAACTCTGTTTTCCTTTTACTGGTAGACTGACTCCCAACAAGAGTTTATGGAAACTTCCTGACAGTAGCACATTAATTCCTGATAGTAACATTTGTGAGAATTCTCCAATAAACGAGGTTTTGCTTCACAAGTCTAGTACAAGACGCCGCAGCTGTTTGCCCAAGCCCGGTGACCCAGACTTCGGGCTTCCATTATACCCCAAGATGCTCACTGAGTGATGGAAATCACAGCTTCACAAGCATGAAAGACTAGAGACATCTCAGCCTGAGATTACTACAAAATGTGGCAAAACCACCTTTCCAAGAAACGGTGTGGCTGCGAGCTTTTGGTCCATAAGTGCAAGCGGCTCATCCTGCTCTACTGGGTTGCTGTTGAGCCAAAAATCTCCTGAGCCAAGCTCTCTCGCAAGATTTCCTGTACTTCCTGTCTCCGTGTGAGCCAGAAATACCCTGAGAACGACCTTTCTTGTGGTAATTCTTTTACTTCTGCTCTGGGATGAGGATAATCCCATATCAGGGGAAAATTTTAAGTTGTGAAAACATTTTCGACACACGGACATTCACATGAAGTAGGTTCTCCTTTTGGGATGATAATTGGAAATGATGTTTGTTTGGCCCTAACTAGTCTCTTATAGGAAACATTCATATCCAATGATCCAATATTTTGTAACTTCTCTGGAATATTTTTACAAGGAAATGTGGGGAATAATCTAAGAGAAATGCATATTCTTGACTTTTTTAAAAAACTGATCTTCAAGAAGCATACACGAAAGAGCTGTGTTTCTAATACATTAGCATCTGTGATATATCGTATCATATATTTGTTTTTCTTTGTTCTTAACCCCTTTGTTTTAAGGGTCAGGATATCCTGATGCTAAGGACTCTTGCAAAATAACTGAACAAAAATAAAAATAGTCAAACACTTAGGAAACCCTTGAGTTGCTAAGTCAGGGAAGTTTGTGACTGAGGAGTGACTTGAAGACATTATTCAGGAAGTATGGTGTGGAGTGCAACAGCCTGGATATTAAATAGAACCTTCTGATTTCACAGATCCTCAATGCCCCCAGTCTAATGGGAGGGTAAGGTAAGAATTGGAAGGATTGCCAAACTAGGCGAATGAGTCCAATTGCTATAGAAATCTTTTTATCTCAACAGAGCAGATTAAAGAAAGAAATCTTGAAGATAAATGGGTCATGGGTTTTTACTCATTGGGCTGTATGAACATGTAGTTATTTTAGAAAACTGCAATATTTTAATAATGAAATTCTCAGAAAAGCACTATCCCAAATATATATCATACATATGTACATGTACATACACACTGACGGTTTTTAGGCCTTTTTTCAGCTACCAGGAAAGAAAGCTGGTTTACAGTATACTTTTTCATCTAAAAGGAAAGGGGGGGAATCACTTAATTAATTGTGAAAAAAGCAGACTTATTAACCATAGTTTTAGAAGAAAATAATGACGAGATTACAGTGAGTTTTACCGCTTTCAACTTCAAAAACAGAATGAAGTGAGAGCGAGTGATGAAAATGAAACACTCAGCATTGGACTGTCTCCTCTTCCCCCAAATCTCCTCCATGCTCCCCCAAAGAAACATCAAATGATTGTGTGATCAACCAGCCGTAGGAATGCAGAGCGGGAGCAACAGCTTGTACATCAGCAAAATAAAGTGCCAAGCAAAACAAAGGCCTTTGCAAGGCAGAGACACTGAGCTCCAAGGAAGACAGGATTGTTACAATGTCTTTCAAGAAAACAGGGGCTTTCTGTGTGACTGTGCAAGTTCAAATTGTTCCTACAAACCCAATTTGCTGGCAAAAATGCCAAGCATAATGCCATCCCACTTTCGTTTAAGTCCAGAGCCTTTCACATAAGCGACAGGGGGTATCTCTGTTGCCGCTTTGGCTCTGACTCTCAGGGTCAGCCTCTTCATCTCTGAGCCTCAGGAAGCAAGAGGCTTGGCCCACGGTTGTCCTCAATTCACCACTCTGGGGTGGGGACACAGTAGTCAGTGGCCCAGATATTAAGCCCACAGTGTGGTCTCTCTGAAAAAAAAAAAAAATCATCCATACTTGCTTTTCCAGGCCATTTATGACCCCCTACCAACACCCTTTAAAGTGATGACTACCCTTTGAAAATGGGTTTTTAACCATCCCGAGCCACGTGTCCAGGCTAAACAGACACCCTGTGCATATGCATAAGGACCTTGACACTTGCCTAATCCACTTTTTTCCAGTTAGCTTTGGAATGTGATTCAATGTTATTTCCTTCCAGCTGAAGGGCAGCTGAGGTTACAAGGGGATTTGACTAATAGACCAAAAAACCCGGATAGTTTGCAGAGAACTTTGACAGCAAAGTGGGTGGGGTGTGGAAGAAGGAAGGAGAGTGTTTGAACTGTGGTCCTTAAGATCAAACCGCCCCCATCCCATGCAGGCACAGTGGACAGACAAGGCAGGCCCCCCGCCGGGCCCTCCAGAGAGAAGCAGCTGCAGAAGAGTTCTGGCAGAATGCAGCTTCCCGTTTTGCTGAAAGCTCCTTGGGATATACAGAACTAGAGTCTGGGAAGCTTCTAGGCTTCCTGTGCCATAGGGGTTAACCCCTCACCTGGCACTTCCAGATGACTAGCGTGTGAGGGCCCTCGCTCAGAGAGACATGCAACGTGGAGCCCCGAATCTTTGCCTGAAGTCTTTCGTGGCTAAGTCACTTGACAAACTTGACAAGCAGCAAAAGAGCTCATAGAAAACAAACGAAACGGGAGGAAGAAGAGGGGAGGTGAAGGCTGAAGCCTCAATGGCTTTTTTCCCCTCCCCGCTGTCGTTCCAGCTGTAGCCTGGGATTAATTAAGTGCTGTGAATTCAGTGCCTGAGAGAGAAGGAGAAAATGCACTGTATCTCTAAGGAAGGAAGGAGTCCAGAGACGGTTTCTCAGCAGTGAGGAACCTTAGGCGGTGCATTGGTCTCATCTCGTCGCCAGTGTTTTGTGCAGGGGCTGGGAAAGCCAGAGAGGCTGTGCCAGGCTGGAGGAGACTTGTCTTTCCAAGGCTGGAGAGGATTTCACGCGGGTTTGCCTGCAGCTGCCCGGGAAGAAATTCCCCTCTGGTGGCAGCAGCCGCAGCAGCAGCGGCGGCGGCGGCGGCGGCGGCAGTAGCAGCGACGGTGGCAGCCCTACCTCCTGTTCTGGGGAACAGGGCAGAATGCCTGTGCTAGAGCGGTACTTCCACTCGGCAGAACTAGGCAGGAGGTGGACGGCCCCAGAAGGTGTGCTGCCCTCCGCCCTAGGCAGCAGGCCGGGGTGCCAGCAGGGGCCGCTACCCTGGGACTTGCCAGAGATGATCAGGATGGTAAAGCTGGTTTGGAAGTCCAAAAGTGAGCTGCAGGCAACCAAGCCGAGAGGCATTCTGGAAAATGAAGACGCTTTGCACAGCTTCCCAGGTAAACAGACGGTGGGGTGCAGAAGGTGACCTAGCCAGGTCTCATCACTCTAGGTCCCCTTCTTGGGTCAAGGAAGGAAGGCAAGTTGTGCCGACAGGTTTCAAGGGCTGACTTACAAACGTTTGCTCTATTGGAAAAGCATCTTAAAGTTGAGTGATGGATATGCTGAAGGAGTGTTAGAATGGAAATTAACAAACCTAGTGTAGGGGTCAACTTGCTGCAGGCTTGTCCTGGTCAAATCTTGAGTTTCAGACCCCAAGGGGAGAGTGTGAAACTGGTGTCCATCCTACCCCTAACATTTCTTGTCCATAGTTAGAAATGTCTCCAGCAGAGTGGTTTCCTTGAGTTGCTTTTTACACTTCTTCATGTAAAGTAAAAAATGCAGCCTCCAAATTTTAACTCTGCAACTTATGGAATGTGTGCAGTCTGCATGCTTTTTCAATCCTTGCAAGTTAATACACTGCCCAGCCTCAGTTTCCTCTTTGACCAGTGACAAATACCCCTACAGAGAAGAAGGAAACTCAGCTACAAGTGCGGAGATAACGAGTCAGAAGGGCTTTTTTCATGTTGTAAGAATGTGCTGTTTGGGACGGGACAGTTGGTTGGACCTTTTGCTGCATTTCTAATGGGAGGCTGGGGTAGGGGGCTACCAAGATACCTTCGGGACTCTGTGAGCTACCAATGTCACAGCTGATGGCTTGGTGCTCCCTTCCTCTGGGAAATGTGTTGATGAGTGTTCGGGAGGCAGAGGGTTCACTTGAGAAGAAAGCATATATGAGTGTGCTCATGCCTTTATGTCCTGGCCATCCCCATGCTGTGGGTCAGTGATGAGAGATGGGCAGGTGAAAAAGATAGTCGAAAAATCACCTCCCTTTTTCTCATGGGAGTGGGCTGAGAATAAAAACTCCCCTGATGTTGTTTCAAATAACTTATGGCATAAAGGGTTTGCTGTTGTTTGTTTGTTTACACCAAGATGCCTAATAATTTATAAAGAATATTATTAAAAAGTAATGCTCTGGGGGGGCATTCTGAAAAGAAACCCCAATGTTGTTCTTTAGTAAACAATGAGTATTTGAGCACTTAGAAGAGAGAAGGGAAGCAATCAGCCTGAGGTTTGTGTGGCATTTGCAAGATGGAAGCCAATGGAAATGGGTCTTGGTCAGAAGAAATGAGGTAATGGGAAAGTCATTCATATTTCATGGGAGCAGGGCAAGGAAAACAGAAAAGGCCACCTAGGCAGAAAATGCAAGTATGGCTCTCCAACTGTTCTTACCCCTGGCTTGTGTCACTAACTGAGATGATTAAAATTCACATTTCGAATGACACCCTTTCATAGATCTTCCTCAGTCACCACTCGCCAGCCCATGCATCTGTGCGAGACGGTGCACCTCATTCCTTCCACGCCATGTGAGCGGGGTCTGACTCCTGAAGCGCTACCAACTACTACCCTGAGCAGGCAGAACTTGTTCAGAAGGAAAGTTGGGTCTCTCACACCCCTCTACTGGTTCCTCCCTTGTCCCTGGTCATGGAAAGTGTCCTAACTGAGCCCTGGACAGAAGCAGCACCCATCCGTATGTAACCTACTCCCCTTGCTGCAATGCTATGTAAACACACACACACAAACACACACACACACACACACACACACACACACACACACACACACACACATCCCAGGGATGTCTCTGTTTTACCTGCCTCCCCATTTCGTCAGGGATGGGAAAGTCTCAGGATGTCTGATGTGAGCACAAAAGCCTCTTACACATCAGCACAGAGACAAGATGATGAATGCAGAGATGAGAAGCATCACCTTCCAATTTGTCTGCCTCCTTGGTGCTCTGCAGAGACACCGTTTCCTCCATTTGACCACAGCAGTGATAGCCTGGGTTGTTCCCAGCTACATGTGGGGAGTGAGGAGGTATGCAACAAAGCACCAAACAAACAAAACTACATGGAAATCTCCCCCTCTCTCATACACACACACACACACACACACACACACACACACACACACACACACACACACACCTTACACTTACCTCACAATCCCCAGCCAATTTAAACTTGACAATATTCTTAAGCAACTCTGCACATCAAGTGGTGCCTGCCTCCAAGCATTGCCCTGAGCCTTTCTTTGGCTCAAACTACAAAATCCAGTTCAAGCAACCCTGCCTCCCCACATCCTTCCCAGATAGCAGCTTTACCTCAATATATAATGTGTTACATCAACATCTTGCCTTGCTATGACTGAAAACAGGGAAACTAAATATTATAAATTCTGTGTATATTTGGACTGTCTGTGATAACAGATGAGTCGGTTTAAATATTTAAAAACCACGAAACTGTGGAAATTCTGAATAGCACCAATAGTCACTTTACAGGGCTCTACAGATGAATGTCACTGGCTCCTAATATGTTTAATATAACCTTCAGAAGCCCCGGGGTTCCTTCTCCCTTGTGAAGGGCATCAATGTTTGTATTTATGCTTCTTTAGACAGTATTAGAACTGTGTTCTTTACAAGTAAACTAGAAGAATGTTTGAGGTGCTTTGTTAGGGGAAGGAAAGAACGAAAGAAAATCTGGGAAAATAAATGAAAGCATGCGTTCATGAGAAATTCAGTATGAAATACACAGAATTGAAAGCCATGGGAAACAGAAGAGGACAAGGAAGTCCTGGAGAGGTGACAGGTCAGCGTGCCCTGGGAGGTTGTTCCAAGCAGCAGGCTGGAGAGAGCTTTCATGAGGTATGGGGTAGATGCATGGCTGTGTGGAGAGTGACACTAAGCTGAGCATTGCCCAAAGTAATAATAGTCATTCAATAACTGAAATGGCAATGCCACTGCAGCTTGCTGGCTTACACTGTGTCGTTTAATCATGGTAACACTCCTATCCTTTTTTCCCCTTTCTTGAAAACTAACCCCTGCATTTTAGAAATGAGGTGAACAGTTCAGAAAGACTCAGTATTTGTTCCACCCCCTCCTCTCCCAGGGCAGGATCTCAATAGTTTAACTGAGTCACAAAACTTTTACATGATCAGAGCACATGCCTGGGGGTTAGATTCACACTTCTAGGATTCACATCCTAGATGTGAAGGATGTTAGATTCACATCCTTCTAGGTAGGATGTTGTTTCTATAGTTACCTGTTGATGGGGCAAACACGAGAACTCATGATTCAAAATCTCAGTCAAACAAAGAAACAAAAAATAACAGTCTCATTTTATATAAGTCAGGTCTGTGTCTTTTCTACATTTTTCTACTTATTTGGAGGGCATTAGCTTTAGGTGGAAGCCCCAAGTACTGGGAAGGTGTGGAGAATGGTCCTCATTGACCCTTAAGACTTAAAGCACAGCCTGGAGAGCAGGCATGAAAGACAAGAGTGAGGGTAGATGGTAGGGTAGGAGTGGGAGACGAATCAGTGGTTTCCCAGGTGCTAGGGGTACAAATTTTCCTATAACCCTCATTCTAGCCAGCTGCCAGTTTACATGCAGATGCCCCCAGCAGGACCTGCTCTAACTTGAATAAATAATTTATTTTGAGATTCAATCAAATAGCTGCAAACTCTTCATCTACTTTCCTTTCGGTGTCTCTAATCTCAATTGTGTATCGTATTTTCCTTATTTATTAGGTCTCTTCTTTCAGTAGCCTTTGGCTGCAGAAAAATATGAAAACCCAGAACCCATTTCAAATAGAGAAAGAACACAATCATTTCCCGTTAGCTCTTACCTGTCATGTGCTTCAAGAAGAATACAAATATCAGAAATTTGCTTTATACCCAGCTCTGAATATCAAATGTCAGACAAGAAAATCTGCAGAAGGGTTCCAATTCCAGAACACTACAATTTAAATTGACACTTAAAGTGTCATTTTAAAATCTCTTAAATGGCAAGTGTGACATAAACTATGTTGAAGAGTGAGCACTGGGATCATTATAATTCAAGACGCATTTATTGGATGCTTAGTGTATACCATGGATTATGCTGCACAACATTGACTGAGTGATGAATCAAAGGTTTAATGAGGGAAGAATGGCAACACATTTATGAATCTGAGCTCTGTCCACAGCTTCAGTGTGCAAACAAGCTAGTTTAAACTTCTCTGTCCACTCAAAATATTGACTGGAGAGCTGGTGAAATAAAACACACTCCTAAAAATTCATATGCACTTTCAAGCGCTCATCAGGACTTAATGATTTCATTCAAAACAGACCAAATTGCTTTGAGAAAAGAAGCAATTAGCCTCAACAGGGGATGTGCTGATATTAATTCATAACATTTCTCCAAGGCTACTGCCTGTAGACATTAGCCTATTAGCCTACATTCAGCCTATAGCTTTATTGAAGAACGTCACTGACAGTGTCATCCTTCCTTTAAATGGAACAGAAAAGCAAGTCGAAACCAAAAGACAACAGGCGAGTGTGTGAGTGTGAGTTTGCTGTAATTCCAGCACTTGAAGGCAGGGAAAAGAGAATTGCTATGAGTTTAAGGCCACCCTGGGCCACATGATAAGTCTCAGGCCAACCTGAGCTACAGAAGGATACCCTGCCTCACTACATAAATAAATAAGTAGATGTAAATCAATAATTTTAAAGAAGAAAAGTTCTCACTTTGAACCAAACCCGTGTTTCCCATAAATTTGTTTTTCTGAATGACAGATACCCAAATATAAGGCAATTTTCCCCAGGCCCCATAATTCCAGTTGGTTCTGAGTCCTTGAGAAAGGCTCAAGAGACAGACTGTAAGTCCCAAACTGAGATTTGAACCTATTTAAATCCTGTATACACAGTGATGGGCTGTGTGATCCTGGGCAAGTTAATACCATGGTATCTCAGTTTCTCTTCTACAAAAGGGAATAATAGTAGAACCTTCATATAAGGTTATTGAGAGGATTAAATGAGCTAATACCCCCAAATCAGTGTAGAATGTCCTTAAACCAGCAGTTATCAATCTAAGTTTTTGGAGTCACATATCAGACATTTACATTATGATTCGTAACAGTAGCA